TATATAACCAACTCAGCATTTTAATTCCCACTATTAACGCATTATTAAGCAATAACCCAGTTATTGTTACAGTTAGCCATTAAAAAAAATATATATATTTTTTTTGCTTGCTTGTTTTTTTTTTTTCACTAGAACCTACTCTACATGCTACTAACTATACTAAGTTTGCTAAAAAGGTTAGTACATTTTGTTTTCTGCAGGATAGTAACAAAATCTATACAATTTCTTCACCTACACTTGCTGACATTTGAATCAGAGTAGTGCCTGCATCAATAACACAATTAAAGAGAAACATGAATTCAAATGGGGTGACACGGTGGTTCAGTTGGTAGAGCTTCCGCCTCTCAGAAAAAAAAAGAAAAGAAAAAAAAGTTGCTGGTTCAAACCCTGGCCCTGGACATTTCTGGGGAGAGTTTGCATGTTCTCTCCGTTCATGCGTGGGTTTCTCCGGGAACTCTGGTTTTCTCCCACAGACCAGAAGCATGCATGTTAGGCTGACTGGTAACTCTGAATTAGTGAGAGAGTGTATGGTTGTTTGTCTCATTTATCTCTATGTGTCCCAGTGATGGACATGAGACCTATCCAGGGTGTCGCTTATCTCTCACACAGTGATAGCTGGACAGGGGCACCAATGGCCCCGCGACCCAAAAAGGAAGAAGTGGTTACATATAATGGATGGATGAACTTGAATGTTTTTTTTTTTTAATCTGATTTTCAAACTAAATTAATTTGACTTGTTTATAAAAAGTCAAGTCACACAAAAAGTGTTATTTTAGAGAACTATACAAAAACTTAGCAAGCTGAATCTGATTCATCCCAAACAAAATCCAGATTAAATCTACTTAACTGAACTCTGGTATTTTAGGTGTTCACATGACTATGTTAATAATAAAAAAAAATAATGATGATAATCACAATAATAATATCAATAATAATAATAATAAATGTTATTTGGTTTAAAAAAAGTTATCTGAGAAAACCACAAGACTGTGTCCAGTTTGATCTTCGGCCCAATCATCTTCTTTGATCTATATAAAGAGTTTTATAATAAAATATTTCTCATTGCTAAATAAAATCTTTGTTTATGTAGGTACTAAGTTTGGCTAAATAACACAGACAAAAAGAGATAACTTTTGAGCAGTAGATTGGGTATCTTTCTTTTATTTGGCATTACATGAAAACAAAAGCCAAAGAAAATATTTATTTGAATATATTTTATTATTTTATGATCATTGCTTGTTTACAAAGTGTTCACATATTGAGATGGATTTATGAAATAGTGCAAAATGTTGTTTGTCCATCACACAGTGAGTTTAGTTTTATTCAGTGCAAACACAAATAATGTAATATTATCAAACAGTGCATCATATAACAATGGGTAAGGTGAAATCTGCTACATACACAAAATAAACAAATAAATAAATAAAATATAAAATTAAATATATATATATATATATATATATAGGTTTAAAAAAAACACTTTAATATTTAAATCAAAGTTCCAACACATATGGTAATATTTAGTTAACCAAGTCATGCTTAGAAACCACCATGTTATTTGAAATGGAAAATAAGATACTAATGTATAATAATATTTAGATATCATTTTCAAAAACAACATAACTCTCATAACAGTAGTTATTTATATTCTGACAAAGTTGAAGAATAAAAACTTATACAAATACATAACTGAAAGCATCTACAGTTATACTAACAGAACATAAAAAATAAGTACATCTTTAGTAAGTATTTTCTCTAAAGGTAATCTAACAAGAAGCAGATACTTAAAGGTCAAATTTGTTTTATGTTTGAGGCCTTGACCTCTGAGGATTAATATAAAGTTGAATACCAACATATTGCACGATTCCATGCATCAAATTTGTTTAAAAAAAAAATCACATTTGAAACATTAGCACTGCTTTATTAATATTATCAAATAAACACAAACAAGTACAGTTAGAATTAGTAGGAAGGCTTTAAATAAACCCAAAGCTCATTTGATCACATAGCATGGGTGCTGTGGTCCTGCCCTGACCTTCAGGCTGCCCCTCTCTGCACTCAGGCGCCTCAGTGTGTTTTTTTGATACGCTGCACTTCTTTTCTTTAACGTGTCGGTGTCTGTGTTTGGCCCGAATCGAAAATCGCCCCTCCACGAGCCAGTGGTCAGAAATGGGTCATATCGGTCGTCGCCCAGCAAAGTCCCGCAGTGGCTGAAGTCGGTGAGAGTCGATGAGCAGTATGTGGTTGGGAAAATGGGCAGACTGTTTGTGGTGGAACGGTAGACGTAACTGCGTCGGCAGAGCTTAAAATAACACACGCAGCTGATTAAAAGCAGGAAGAGAAAAGAAACGGCTGACAGTGCGATGATTAGATAAAGTGTCAAGTTATTCTCGTCCTGCGAGTCGTCTGCGAACTGAAAAAGTTCGTTAAACACAGGCAGCCCGTCGCTAATCACGATGCTGACCGTCGCTGTGGCAGAAAGAGCGTCAACGCCGTTATCTGTCACCAAAACCACGAGCGTGTGTTTGGGCTCGTCCTCCTCCATGAAGGCTCTCAGAGTTCGGATTTCTCCCGTGTGCAGATCTGCCATGAACAGGTTGGGCCGTGTCGCTTTAATGATTCTGTAGGCGAGCCACGCATTGTGGCCACTGTCCGCGTCCACAGCCACCACCTTAGTGACCAGGTAACCTCTGGGCGCTTCAATTGGCACCATGTCTTCAGCAATAAACCCAGAGGTTTGGACGGGATAGAGGACCACAGGCGCGTTGTCATTTTGGTCCTTGATAAAAACATTTACAGCGCACGTGGCGGACAGTGGAGGATCGCCTCCATCTCGAGCTGTCACCTTTATTTGGAAGTGGGCCGACTGTTCGTAATCGAAGAGGCGCGATGTAAAGAGCTCTCCCGTGTCTGGGTTAATGGTCAGTAAGGACGACACATCCGAGTTTGTGTCCTTTGATATGCGATATATTATTTTAGCATTTGCTGCGTCATCTATGTCCTGTGCTTGGAGTTTCAGGACAAACGTACCCATGGGTTGGTTTTCCAAAACGTTCACATTGTACGCGCTCTGCGTAAAAGTCGGTGGGTTATCATTCACGTCATCAACCACTAACGTTAAAACTTTTACACTGGAGAGTGGGGGAGAGCCTGCATCAGTGGCGGTGACTGTGATGTTGTATTCTGGTTGGACTTCTCTGTCCAGCATCTCACCTGTAACTAACATGTAGTAGTTTTTGACCTCAGAAACTAGTTTAAACGGAACATAATCTGAGATTGAACATGTGACTCGACCACTGCTACCTGTGTCCAGGTCGTAAATATTAATTAGAGCAATCATAGTTCCTGGTTTGGAATCCTCAGCCACCCTAGTGGAGGCTGATTTTATTTCTATCACTGGGTTATTATCGTTCACATCAATTACATTGATAATGAGTTTGCAGTGGGAGGCCTGACCGCCCCCATCTTTGGCCTGAACGTCCAGTTCGTGTGAACTTGCTTCTTCATAGTCAATAACACCTGCTACCCTAACCTCCCCGTTCAGCGGGTTGATTTCAATAACTCCCCCCATCTTGTCTGACAGGTGGCTGAAAGAGTAGGTTATCTCCCCGTAGACACCCTCGTCCAAGTCCGTGGCATTCAGTGTTGCAATGAGAGTCCCCAAAGGTGAGTTCTCTGGCACAGATACTCTGTAGACCCTTTGGCTGAAAACTGGAATATTATCATTTGCGTCCAAAACACGGATGCGGATAGAGGCGGTTCCAGACCTGACTGGATGACCCCCATCCAGCCCACTAATTTCCAACAAATGTTCAGCTTCCTCCTCCCGGTCCAGGGGCTTTTTAAGAACAAGCTCCGGATAAGCATTGCCATTTATTTGAGTGCTGATTTCCAATGCAAAATGATCATTCTGGCTGAGTTTATATTCACAGACAGAGTTCGTGCCCAAATCGGGGTCATGCGCGCTCTCTAAGGGAAAGCGCCACCCTAGAACTGTAGATTCCACCAAATCTAGTTTGATCTCGTCTGTAGCAAAAGCTGGGCTGTTGTCGTTTATGTCTGAAATGTCCAAAACTAAGCTGAAGGCTTGAAGCGGATCCTCGAGTAAAAGCTGGAACTGCAGGATACAGGCTGCAGCCTGAGCGCACAGCTCCTCTCGGTCTATCCGCTGGCTGATCAGAAGATTACCGGAGGCAGTGTCCAGTTCGCAGTGCAGGCTGGTTCCCTCTGCAACAACACGAGCTCGACGGGCATGAAGCTGGGACAGCTGCAGCCCCAGATCCCGCACAACGTTCCCAATAACGGAGCCCCTCTGCATCTCCTCTGGAAGAACATAACGGACCTCCCCGAATGAAAAGGAAAAAAGAAGAGTGCAGAGGAAAAAAACAGTCCACCATTTTAAGTATGCTGGATGATCCATCGTACAACATGCTTTCAAAAAAAGAGACGCCGTCGACATGATATTTAAATCCAACTATGGAGCTGAAAAAGCAGCAATAAATCGACGTTTCTCTGCTCCACTCGCTGAGTTATTCATGCTCTATTAGGGATGCTGTCAGCATCTACTCCTCTGCTTTCTTCCCCATTCCACCACTGTTTTTTTTCCCTCTATCTCTCTCTCTCTCTCTCTGACTCACACAGTCAAGCAGGCACGCAGCAACTCTCCTTCTCTCCCTCTTCCACTGGCACAAATGCTCATCCATGCACATTGTGCTCAAATGTACTGCTCCAGTTCTACTGACACAGATAGGGAGAGACAACAACATCCAGGAGGCACACGCTATAGTAGAGCATCACCAAGCGATGAAGAGTTTTATTGCAACTTATTTTCACATATATGTGGCTGTACAAAAAAAGCAAACAAAAAAAAACAAATTAAAATAAAAGTTACTAAATACCTACTGCTTTGAACTAAATAAATTTGAAGCAGCTGATGACAAATACTGCAAACCAAAATAAGGAATACAGTATAGTCATATAAATGACTAAAATGACTAACATAATCACACACACACACACATATATATATATATATATATATATATATATATATATATATATATATATATATATATATATATACACATAATGCAATCTCGCTTACAGTGTTAACAAGCACCCTCTTTGCCCATTGGAAAACTACTCAGACTTCATAGTTGGGACATGCCTGGCCCATGAATCCTTGAAGACTTGATCAGGGCCTCTGGCTGGTGGGACTATGTGGATTTGGCCCTTCTACGACCTTGTTTAGCCACCTAGCTAAACCCTAATTTTGCCTCCTATAACATTACCCACAATTCCACACTGTAACAAGTGAGTCTCACCAAACTTTAAAATCCAGTACTTTATACTAGGCTGAATTTAGACTCTGAGCTTGGACCTTCTTGGTGCTTCCTAAGGGGGTCAAAGGGCCCTCCAAAAGTCAAAAGGCCAAAAAGGTCAGGCCTTTCTGAGTACAATAAAGAAACGAACAATAATAAAACAGTTTCCAACATTTAGGGAGCTCTATAATGTTCAATGCGAGCACCCTGCATGTCAACTAATGATGAGAAGGGACTACCCGATGCGTCAACATGTGACTCATTGGGAACCTGCCCAAGTGTCAATATATGACGAGTAGGGAGGGAAATTGTGTGCTGACCATTCACAGCTGTGCATTGTTTTTGTCAAATTAATTAGTTTAGTTTTGTGAGGAGCTTTTGTGGGGGTGAGCTTCCATTTTATTTACAACATTTTTCTCCTGTTTTTGTTTTAGTAAGTTAGTAGGGTAAGAAACATGCATTATATTTACTTTTGTTTTGTTTAGCGAAAATAGTAGGACAATAACAGTTTTGTTGTGTTTCCTTGACTGGTGAAGCCTTCCGGACCGAAGGCGAAACGTTTCAGCACAAAAAAAAAGAAACTGTCCAGATGACCTGACTGAAAAATGTTGGATTGTATACCTGGACTATTGAGCATGGACTTTGTTGTTTTCAACCAGTTTGACAAGACTGTCAACAAGGAAGAGGGCCGGAAACGGAGGAGGGGGTGTACCAAAGAGACCATCTTTTCACAAGCAGAACTGGTTTGTTCCACTTTGGAGTAAGCTGTTGTGGGAAGAATCAGTTTTGTTGTGTGTTTCCTTGTGTAGTTCACTACACTTGACTGATGAAGCCTTCCAGATCGAAGGCGAAACATTTCAGCACACAAAAAAAAGAAACTGTCCAGATGACCCGACTGAAAAATGTTGGATTGTATACGTGGATTATTGAGCATGGACTTTTAGTAGGACAATAAGTTTGTATTGTTTGTTATTTTGGCCTGTGCTCACACTGAAGTCTGCCAAGACTCCGAGTGCATCATCATTGACATTGTAAATAAACTCACCTTTTAACCCACATTCTTGCAGGGTCTGTCCCTGTGTCCATTTTCTTTATATTTGTTTCTTTTCCTTTTCTGCTTATTGTACTTTTCATTCTGCCCCTTGTTGTCATTCTGTTCCTGTTGTTTTTGACTCTGTGTTTTCTGTTAATCTCCACTCACGCCTTCCTCAGCCTGCCTCTCCAATCTCTAACCATTCACACCTGTCTCTAATCAGCAACCATTCCAGGTGCTCTCATTACTCGCCCTACCTCTACCTTTTTAAAACTCTCTGCTCTCCCATCAAACTGTCCAGTATTTGTTCTGTTTTGTACAGGTATCTCAGTCCTCCTCTGTCTGTCCTGCTGCGTCTATTTGACACTCTGCTCTGTTTTTGCTTGTTGTTTTGCCTGAGTAGATTTTGTCAGCATCGACAGCCCTTTGTTTTGATGTTTAAAATGAATTATTTTTATTTTAAAACTCCTGCCTCGTCCACCTGGCTGCCAATGGGTCTGAAAACTGAGGATTGTGAAATATTCATAGACTTTTTGTGGCTGCTTGAGGTGTGCATAAGGTATAAACACCCACATCCAATCACAACCTGGTGGCTGTGATTTGTGCCAGTCGTAACACACTCAGTCCTTCAGGTCATGTGATCAGCTGCTCATGAGTGTGCCAAAGACGAAGCATAAACTCTGAGACGGTGCTTTTGCTGTGGCAGCTCCTAAATTATGACATGACCTTCCCTCGGACACCAGACAGGCCTAATCCCTGTCTGTTTTTAAATTCTTTATTAAAACCCATCTCTTTTCCCTGGCCTTTGACAACATCTGAAATGTTGACTTGTAATCATTTTAAATCACTTTTTTTAAATTATCTGACTAATTGTTTTATTTTGTGTACAGCACTTTGATCCTGTGGGTGTTTAGCATGCACTATCAATAAAGCTGGTACAGCATTTGTAGCCCATGTCTAGAAGTTATTCAGCTGATTAGGGTGAGACACCATGAGTTTTTATTATTGAACATTTTCACAATATTCTGTTTTTTCATGAATTCTAAGCCATATTTGTCAAAATAAAAAATAAATTCTCAAAATAGTTCACTGTGTGATGAATCTTTTATGTAATATATTATATATATGTGTGTGTGTGTGTGTTTTTTGTTTTGTTTTCTAGAGTGATTGATCAAAAAATTAAATAAAAAAAAGAACAACAATGTTTTCATGATATTCTACATTTTTAGATGCACCTGTATGTGGCGTATGACGTCACATCAAGTGTCGTGTGTTTACAACCTCATTTCATTTTTGCAATAGATGTTCTATAGAGTCTCATGATTTATTGTCTGTCAACTGCAGGATCCTTCAAATCAATGTAAGTGCACATATTTAAATTTGATAACAAGAAACCTACAAATGTTTGTCTTGCAGATATGTATTATGTATCATGATTATTTTGTGTGTGTGTGTGAATAAACTGAAAAAAAATAAAAACATGTCAGCAATGAAACAGACGTGTCGGATAATCTGGCATTTATTTAAATAATGCAACATTGATATATATATATATTTATATATAATCATGGCTAATCACATGTGTGATTGATGTATGGTGCAAGACATCACGGACCTTCTTTGTTCAAGAATATGCAGTGAACTCATACATATGAACTTTATTTTAGCCAATGGTTTGCAAATTGTTTGAATATTTAGGTTGTAAATCAATACTAATTCAAATCATTTAAAAAGATTAAATGGAGAAAACTAGACAAACGTATGACGAACATTATGGATGTTGTAAAACATAATGTGGAAAAATGGCAAGTTGCCAGCCTGGTTTGTAAAACTTGTTGGTTTAGAGTGAAATTAAAAAAAAAAAAAAAAAAAGATCAAATGATGAAAAGGTACATATTTAACACAATGTAAGCAAGATACAATTATTAAAGACAGCCAATGAGGATATTTTCAGGTAGACTTTTTTTTTTTTCTTTAATTATCAGATTAAGCTTTAGAGCAGCATGGTGGCACAAGTGGTAGAGCTGCTGCCTGTTAGCGAGCAGGTCCCTGGTTCAAATACCGGTCCGGCGGCCTTTCTGGGTGGAGTTTGCTTGTTCGCTCTGTGCATGTGTGGGTTTTCTTAGGGTACTCTGGTTTCCTCCCACAGACCAAAAACATGCATGTTAGGCTGATTGGTAACTCTAAATTGCCCTTAGGTGTGAGTGAGAGAGTGAATGGTGTTTGTCTCCATGTGGCCCTGTGATGGACTTGAGACCCGTCAAGGGTGTACCCTGCCCCTCACACAGTGACTGTTGGCCAAGGGCACCAGCAACTCCTGTGACAAATAATGGAAGAAGCGGGTAAAAGATAATGGATGGATGGATGTATTAAGCTTTATTATCATTGCTACAAAGTAAAGTGAGATTATGTTCATACAGTCGTCTGAAAGATGGGCAGAGTGCACGTTGCTGATGCTCCTAAGAGCACGACCCATTATTCTTTAAGATAGAAAAGGGTAAAAGGCCATGAGCACAGGATAGTGGTATTACAAAAAAGGATCTCTTCACACCTTATCCTTATCAGGACACAATTTAAGACATCATGTCAACAGATTTATTTAACAAACTGAAGGATCAATCTTTAAAACAAATACAACCAGAACAGAAAGTGAAATGTATAACATACAGATTATTAGGCTTGAAAACAATAATATTAACAATATTAAATGAGAGACAGGCCTACCTCAGGAGAACTGTCAGAGCTTCCAAACGCATCAGCAAACTGAGCTGGACTCTTGTTCAGAGTGTGGTCAGCAGGC